CTGCTTCTGAAGTAACTTGTGAAGATTTGTTATAACTGTCAAGATTAGAGAAAATATTAAAAATCTGAAAAATCAAGGAATTACATTCCAAGTACATAGAACTGTTGATTAGCGGTAAATCATTTCCAACTTTAGCATGTAACTTTATTTGTATATACATATTCTACCTGCACATAAATTTCTTGTTTATTCTAAATTATCCCATGTTTCATATACAATATATAGTTTATATAATACCTAATTGTTGAGTCAATTAATATACATACATAAGAAATTGTTACAGCCTTACTAGCTAATGTAAGAACAATAAATATTAACTACACCTTCACATAGTTATGTTGTAATCTAGCGTACTCTATTTATAGATATTTCTAAATTTGTAAACTTTAGAAATGCCATTGTATTGAATTTTTATATCTCTCAGTCTAACTACATCCCTCATTATGTCTTTGAAATGGATGTCCAAGAATGAAAGTCATCTTCCAAAAAGCCAAAAAGTCTAAAGTGGTCTTTTTTTTTTCTCTCTTGATACTAGGTATTGAACCCAGAGTCCTGCACATGCTCACAATATGCTCTGTCACTGGACCATACTCCTGGTCTTAAGATGGTTTTAGCTGACTGACCAGCTCACCCTTGCAGGTCATCATAAGTTACAATCACTTGGCCAATGGATGGGCATGGCAGGCATCAGTTCCTTTGCTGATTGTGTGCTTGCTCCCTGCTCAGCAGAATGCAGACACTTACCTATCCAGAAGGGCTTTCTTCCACTGATTTCCCATAGCCACTGCATGTGCCTCCTGGAGAGTACGGTCACAAGGTTGCCCTGGTGCCTGCACATACACAAATGAGAATGAGAGTCTCAGCACCAGGGAGTCTACATTGCTGCCCATATGATGTGCATGATAGAAATAAAAAAAGAACATTAGTAAATGTGTAGAAAATGCTTTTCATTATCTCAGTACTCTGCTTTGATTAGTCTATGGAATGGGAGATGGGCAGCAGCAACGGAAGTGGTATCATACTACATAGCTCGATTTATATCACAGCTCATGTAATTAGAATATCTTTTTGGAAATTAGCAACTGTCTGCTTGTAAAGATTAATTAGATTAATTACTTAACACGAAAATATTATAAAGATTATCATCCTCCTCCTTCTTGGAGACAGGATCTCATGTAACCCAGGCTAGCCCCAAACTCCACACACAGTCAAAGATACCCTTGAACTTCTGATGCTCTTACAGGAATTTTTTTATAGCTAGTATAAATTTGACAATCACCCACTTAATTTGATCAATAAAGTACCCCAATTTTTAAAATGATTTGAAGTCTAAATTTTGAGCTTGGTGTGTTTATTCAAATAACCCAATAGACATGACCCTTTCCATATCTCAGTGAAAGAGACTAGATCCATTATCAAACCTCCTCCATTTTACAGAAGTTAGAGAAGCCCTTCCTGCTAGCACACACCATTTTCCCTCAAAATAGATTTCTCTATGAATTACATTGAAACTAGCTAGCTGAGTTATTCCTATAAGCAGCAGTCCATTATCTGAATTTTCCAATGGGGCTTATTTAAAGCTCGTTAATAACACTCCCATAAAAGCCAGTAAGTTATGTTCTTCTTGAAAAGAGAAGAAATGGGTTCAAGGAAGAAACAATACATAATGAATGCACATAACATATCATAACAACACATTGTGACCTATGGATATACAGTTATTCCAACCAATAAAAATAAAGTAGGAATTAAAAATATTAAGAACTGGTGGGATTGCCCAGTGGGTAATGCAATGCCTGATGACTTCAGGCTTGGGACCCACATCATGGAAGGAGGAACCCGACTCCTGAGTTGTTTTCTGACTTCCATATGGGCACCAAAGCACTCATGCACCACATGCCCATAAATGAAGAAAAACAAAATGTAATCTAAAAAATTGTAAGCCAAATGACAAGAAAATAAAACCACACCGATTTTCTTGCCTGATCAACATTTGCTGACATGAAAACAAGTGGAACATAAAATAGCAATACATACAAAGTTAAATAACTGTGGAGCTAAACTTCATTCATTTTGCCTATGTCTTTCCAAAAGTCAGTAACTACAATTTGTTTCTTAATGACTTTTCCTTCCACAATCACAGGATTTGCTGTTCTGTAATTCAATGGTGTCTTATAGGCCTCCTGAGATCTGTAAGACTGCGGGAGAGCTTCAAGCTGCTGGATTGGAGCTTTATGACTTGGTTTTGAACCCATTATTTACTGCTGGCTCCTGTCGGACAGTTACAGGCACTACAGTGAGACACCTCCTCATATCCAGTGTGGCCATTCTTTGTGCTCTGGGCTCAGGACACACAATGTTCGACTGGTGCTAAATGAGCTTGGGCTATCCCATCACTGTGGAGTGCTGAGCTGAGAATCAGGGAGGCAGGATCCATTTCCTGTTTGGCGCCTCTGTCCCTTCCCCCATAATTTTCTTACCAATTGCCACCAACCTCACAACCATTACCAGGATGGATATAGGTTTATTCCTGGATACTTAGCATCTCCCCTGCTTGAAAATTTTTGAAACTATCTTTAAAACAGACCTTGTAGAATGCATTTTAGCTGCTTAAATACAGTTCCAGTTTTCTGCTTAACTCTCCAAAAAACAAGAATTTCCCCCACCAAAACAAACAAAAGATAGGCAGAAAAATAGCTATCTCTCATCAATGCAAAATATTAAAGCAATGATTCACAAACCAAATGTTTTGGCACATGTGTGGTGACTTTAAGCAAAAAAAAAAAATTCCTGTTCATTTTATTCAAAAACTTATAAAATATGATAAATAATATCTGTATAGACTTGTGTGTTTATAGATATAAAATTGAAATATGTAGGTAATATATATAAGTAAAATCCTTTGGAAACTCTAAAACATGAAAGATTCAAAGTCCAGGAGTAGAAACAGGGGCTTTACTTTTTCTGGCTATGAAAACAAACATCTACTTATTCAAAAGATTTTGCAAAAGTACTGATATTTCAGGGCAACTCTTTAAGGACAGGCCAGCAGGGGTTCCAGACGCTCCTGTGGGATGGGGGAAATGGCATCATAGATAATGATCTATAATAATAGAATTACCAAATGTACAATGACTGCCTAAGGAAATGAGCAGATGAGATTACAATATGTAAATTCAAGAAATGCCTAATCTAGCAGTCTGGCTCCTTTGGGTTAGAAAAATAATAAAACACCAATGGAAAGGCAAAGAGATGGGAGATAAAGATTGAGTTGAGTTAGTAATCTGATTAGGGACAAGGGATAACATACAATTTACTGTTCTCATTGAAACACAGGCATTTTAAATGACCCTCTGAAAATTAAAAAAAGAAAGAAAAAAAAAAAAAACAAAACCAGACATATACCAGGGAGAGGCCAAGGAAACAGCACAGTATAAGGTAACAGTCCCTCAAGCCCAATCAAAACACATTCTGTATGTGTACTAATCCTAACGGTGGATTCTAAAGCCATTTTCTAAAATATCTACTGATAAAGCAAAGCTACAAGTTACAAAATGTAAATGTGTGACTTTAACTTCAAAAAAGGGATTGATAAGCACTAGAGAAACGCCCGTTGTCAAGCCAACCAGACTGTGAACAAGGTAAAGGTGATCCAGAGAGACCTGGGTGAAGGAAGCAGGAGGCCCAGGGCATGACTAAAGCTGATGGCAGAGGGGGATCTGGGGTGCAGAGACAACTCTTGCTGGAGAGGGGGCCTTACTACCCCCGAATGCTCCTCCTGAAATCATATGATTTGTTTAAAGCTCCCAGTGGCGTTTTTTAAAAGTGACTGAAGCCAGTATGTACATCTCTGATCATTCTCCTTGTCCTTCTGAAATCAAATGCATTCTGAAGTATCATGCAAATGCAATCAAATAAAGTATTTAATATTTCAACTAAAATTGGAAGTGTAGAAGCTTTTAGTGACATCTGAAATGTCACATTACCTTACATGCCCTAGAATACCATCAAAGATGGTATCTAATGAGCTGTTTAGTTTCCTAGTCAACAAGGTGAATAGATAATGGGCAATTTGAGTTTATTTTATTGATAGTAGGTTGTTTTCTTAAACTATGTTCCTAAAGCTATTCCCCAAGACTAAAGTGTACTAAATAACTTGGAAATAATTTGAACAACAGTGGTTCTGAAGCTCCTTTTGAAATCATGTTTGAGCTGAGAGTGCGAGTTTGAATCACCAGGGGAGATGGACATTTTTCAGGACAAAAACCTTCCATTTACAGTATTCCCAAATGTCAATCATGTTCTGCTACATATAACTAACAGATATTACTGGAAACTCATATTTATGGGCAGAGGAATTCTTAATTTGACTTATAGTAAGATATGAACTCAGTAAGTGCTAAATCTAGGAACTTAAATTCAGAAATATCTACATTCTTAATAGAGCTTTATGAGAAAGAGATGTGGGAAAGGAACAATCTGAGGTCTGTGACATTACCAATATAAAATGCATCTTGCCATGTAAGATAGCTATACTGAACTATGGTGTCTATTCCCTAATGAATAAGGGATTATTTAGGTGTTGGTCTGTGAGACCAATACTAAAGAACATTATTTTAAGGTGTGTTCTAATCTAGACTCACTTTATTCCAGTACAAAAAGTTAAAACATGAATCCATAAATTCAAAACCTAATTACACTTTTGGTTTTCCTCAAAAGGGTCAGTTGGATTCAATTTTAAATTTTTACTTCTTTGCTGTGAGAGATATAAGACTTTAAAATACATGATTTTGAAGACTTGTGTTAGATATGCCTAACATAAAGTTAAAATAGACACACTTGTCAGTGCATATGTGGTGAGAAATCCCCTACACTTTGGAGAGCTTTCAGGGAGTGTAATGGAAAAGTCCTTTCTCCTTACTTGCTTAGATGACAATGAGCAATTGATTTTGCTTCCTTAAACTTGTTTTAAAATCTGTAAATTGTGGGTATTGATACTGGCTTCCCTTGCAGAAGTGATGAACTTGAGATAAGTTACACATGTGACAGAATTCCGTAAATGACAAAATATGAAAGTAAGGTGTCATTGACAAGGCAGCACAGAGAACTAGGTCAGGCTAGTCTAGGTCAGGGTGACAGTGGTTAACACTAAATTGCAGGTGAAGTCTGAGGTTAAGTGCATGAGGAAGCCGGCAGGCTTTTAAGTTAATTTCAGCCTTGTGTTTATGATGAGCATGAGTAAACCAGACAGTATTAACAGAACTATGATGGAACTCTCTGTAACTTGTAGGCTATTAACCATTAAAAGCCAGCTGTAATAAAATGTATCGATACAATCAAATATTTTAAAGGTATTGGGAGACCGAGTCAGTGTTACCAACAGGAAGTCCTACTCTAATTGTGTAGTATCTTATAAAAAGGATTTGTAACACTAAGAAATTTGAAGATCATGATTTCAGAATCAAGAATAGATATTCGAATAAAAAAAACACCAGCCTACCTTATACCAACATCTCTGTATGGATGAAAATACAATTCCCAGTGCATGTTACCTTATTTTCTCATCGTAAGAACAATCCATGAGAGTCTGGGGTGTAGCTCAGTAGTAGAACATGTGACCAGAATTTATCAAGCCCTGGGTTTCCTCTCCAACACACATACACACACACACACACACACACAGAGAGAGAGAGAGAGAGAGAGAGAGAGAGAGAGAGAGAGAGAGAGAGAGAGAGAGAGAGAAGTGAGTGAATAAGTAAATAAGTAAATGTTCAAAAAGAAAAGTAAGAAGTAACCGTGCATGTTTGGGAGACAGCACGGTCAGTGAACGGGCCGCTGTACAAGCGTGGGGACCTGAGTTTGGATTCCCAGGGTCCGCATACACGCTGGCCACGGTGGAGTGTGCCTCCAACCCCAGTGCCGGAAAGACAGAGAGACAGGTGGATCCTTGGCATCTCCGAGCCAGCAACTCTGAGTGAATCAGAGACCTCTGGGTTCAGTGACAGATCCTATCTACAAAAACTAAGACAATGACTGAGGAAGAAACCTGACGTTGAGTCTCGCTCCAGAGGCATGTGCAAACAGCACCTCACTACCCCCAACCAATAGAGAAATTAATTTTTAGAAGTAATCCCCAAAGTTGACTGAGGACTGGCTTACCGAGGACTCGCTGCGTCCTCTGGGAGTCACGGGAAGTGAGTGATGTCACAGGTCAGGCTCTAACCATTGGGAGCCAGCCACAGTTAAATGAACCAATAAAGTGGCTTCAAGTGTGATCCTTGGAAATTCCATTCCGCTTGTCTACATTTTACCAAGAAATCCCCACGCTATGATCTTGACAACCTGGACAGCAGGGTACATCTGCCACCCTCCCTTTGGCCAGTAAGATCTATGACCCTGTCCATTTGGTAGCATCTTTCTCCTGGTTAGCTGGACAGCTTCCACGTTAGCATCCCAGATCTCTCAAGAAGAGCAAGACAAGGATTGCTGCCCCAGCCTGCCATCCCCTAGATGAACTTCAAACAGATGTAGCATATCTGGTTGTTTTAGTAAAAGGATACCTTATCTATTCTTCAGCATGCAGCATTGTGGCAACATAGAGAGTTAACTAATTTTTAAGAATTGTAAACACCTGGATTTATATCACACTACCAACTTACCAACAACTCCCCCACCACCACCACCAAAGGCCCTGATTACCTGTGCCAAATCTCTATTTACAGTTAAGATATAAAATATACCAAAAAATACAGTTGACTCTCTCAGGGTTTAAACACTTTATTAGCTTTAAAAATAATCTAGAAGGAAATCTGGGTGTGGTAGCATACCCTGTAATGTCCAGTATTCAGGAAGCTGAGGCAGGAGAGTTGAGCCCATGATTTAGAGGCCAGCCTGGGCAACACAGAACTTTGTCTAAAAAAAAAAAAAAAAAAAAAAAAACAAAGCAAAAACCAAGCAGGTAAGTATACAAATAAGCAGAGATCTTTATTTATAATTTGATGGATTTTGACAAAGGTATTACATCCACATAATAACTATGCAGACGAACACACAGAACCTTTCCATCCCTTGCACTAGAAAAGTTCTTGGTGTTGTTCCTGATCCTCACAATCTGTGAGAACCCTTTATTAATGAAGCCTCATATATTAGATTCTCCTACACATATACATGGATTCATAGAATGTATATTCAGTTGTGTAAGGCTGTATATACATTCTGTATGTTATTTATCCATAATGTGCCCACATTATTGGAGGTTTCAGAGGTTCAGTCATAATGTATTATCTCAGTGATGGAGAAAACAGCCAGTACTTTTATAAATCAATAATAAAATTGACCCAAATTATTATCACTATGAATAAACTTATAAAATTCTTTTGTATTTTCTAGCATATATTTTAATCTCTTGGTGAAGTAGCTAGGTACAGAATTACTAAGTCACAGGGCACATAACTTTATTTAAAAACTGTCAGACAAGCCCACAAAGTGGATACTCCATTGTGTGGTTCCATGTATAACAACCCATGAGAATTATCTTTGCTTTATACCCTTATCAACACTGGCCTGGTCAATTTATGATTTTTTTTAATCATTTAATGACTGTAAAGTGTTTTCATCTTCCCTTACCTGGTCTCTAATGATGCTGGAGAATCTTTTACATTACTTAGGAACCTACTGTTTATTTTTTTCGTGTGAGGTCTCTAAGTCATTTATAAAACTTTGTTTTAGTTGTATGTATGATATGTGTGCCTTGATGCGCACACACTGCTACATGTGTGTGAATGGCAGAGGACCACTTTGTGGAGTTGGTTCTTTTTCTACCTTTCCATGTTACTAGTCACCTCATCTTCATTTGCTATTATCTCAGTGGTATTTTTGTTACTAATTTGTAGGAGCTTTGTCCCCTCTTCAAGAGCTCTACCAGATGTGTGGTTTGAGAACAGCTTTTCCTGAATGTGGTTTACCCTTTCATTTTCCTAATGGTGTCTTTAGATGAGCATACCCTTTTAAATTTAATAAAGTATAAGATATGATCAATATTAACTAGAAATTACTGTAGTCTCAATTTCAACAAGAATGCATATTAGTGTAATTACATCGTTTGGATAATATCCAGGTTATCAAATAAAAAGGTTGGTCAAGGATTGCTACGTACGCATTTTAAAAATCCCTCTGGATGAGATGAATTTCGTTGTCACTTTCTGACCACAAGTCATCTTTCATTGGATGTTACCCAATGAGCCTTTGTCCTGCTTGCCTGGCTTTATGGGCATCAATGCCTCCCACACTGCCAGAGTCTGGATGTCAAGGCCTTTCATTAGCAGGTATTTTAAACATCAGTGGGCATAGAAGTCTACCATCTGAAGGGTGGGAGGGAGAGAGAAAAATACCAGAACCCCCAGTGCTGCTGACTCAGGGAAGTCCTTTGACCTTTTCTTTAAAAGATGGAGATAAAAGGAAAAAGAAAAGATCTTGGCACTAGTGAAGCCATAACAGAAAAGATCTTAGCAGACATGAAGTACCAAAGTCAGCCACAAATCCACTCTGAACTAAGAACTCCCCTTAGCCTTCTTCGTCAAAGCTGGACAGACATTAGACAACACTCAGTCAATGACTGTTGCAGTCACAGCTCCATGTGAAGATAAGGAAAGCATCAGGCAGATGTGACATAGGTTCCTTACTGTTCTCTGCAAGCCTGGGTCGCTGAGGTCCAGGTGCCTTTCCGCTGTGTGACCAGGGTGTGACAGTAGCCTGAGTGCAGATGCCATCCAGCTGGGCAGGACTTGTCCTCCAGCCCCTGTAAAACAGTTCTCGGTGTTCACATCTGAGTGGACTTGATAATCCGGAGTCTACCTCACAGTAGCAACCTGTGAGTCTCCGCACTTCAACCAGGCAGAGGCAACCCTCACTGCAGCTTCCGGTCCCGAGAGACAGTGGACTTCCTGCAGAGAGCACCCCCACAGTCAGAAGCGGTTCAACTTTATACCACTGACATTCTGATAATTAATCAAAATTGACTGATGTAATACTATATTTTGGATCTTAAAAAGCCACTTGGTAGCATTTTTTTTTCCTCATGGCTTTCCAGGTGTAGTAAAAACAGACATAGCATGAGTTAAGAATTACATGTCCAATTACTTGTCTTCAGATAAGCTCATCACAGGGCATATTGCCACCAAAGATACTCTGCTACTCTGCCAGTGTCCCACCTTGGTTTGGGGGCTCCAGGCTTTCCAGGCAATCCCATCACATAGATACAATCTGTGGATGCTTTCTTCAAAATGAAACAGTCCCTTCAATTCCACAGAACAGTTCTTTGGAAACAAGGGCCGCTGACCCTGTAGTGAAGAGCAGTCGTTTAGAATCGATTTAATGGAAGTTGATAATAAACGTTCCTCTCTTGGATTTTCCTCTTCTGGGCAGCATCTGCATTGAGTAAACTACCCCCGAACGTGATCCATTTTGTGAATTAAGTGCGTTCACGGCCCAGGGAACAGTTTGCTGCAAGGCAAACAGGAAAGAAGAACTTCCGTACCTGTCTGGGGAAGTGTGAGTCAGTTGTGGATTCCACCTTATCGGCCGGAGGTAGTTCTGCCTCCTTGATTGTCTTCTGTGGCCTACTAATGACAGACATTCTGGCCTTCTGTTGGTGAGCTGAGGCACTGTCACTGTCTAGTTTCAAGGAGACTATGCCGTGATACTTGAGGAAACCAACAAACAAAAACAAGGAGAGAAAAAACAATCAAGACAGCAAACAAAAATTTCTGTTCTAATAATGAGCATATAATGGATTGTATCAACAAAAGAGATGAAAAGGATTTTTCTTGATGACCCAATCTTCTAAAACAAATTTTGGAAAAACAAAAAACTTCAGATAAGTAGACCAAGAGAAAAGATATAATAATCGCACTACGTATTTTCATCCATGAACAAGGCATTCAGCAATTCTCTATGCTTACATTGTAGATGGTGTCTGTTCCATTTCTACAAACAGAAGATGGATGAACCTGAAATCAACAAAGCACAGTATGTACACAAAGCTGACTTAAAAAACTATTAGCCGGGTATTCTGGGAAGGCCCTGTAATCATTGAAAATTTAAAAGAACATTTCCTGAGATTTTTTTTTTTTTCATGTCAAGCTCAATAGAATTTTTTTAAACCATCATGTCTAACCAGAGCTTATAGTTGTGTTGATTTCAGCATCCACTATACTGGCTGGGCATCTATAGCACAGAAAGATTCAAAAGAACATACATACACATACACACACACACACACACACACACACACACACACACACACACACACACACACATAGGAGAGTGTGCCTTGTTAGGGTCGCTTCCACACCCAAGGATGTCAGTCACTTAAATGTGCTTTTATTCTAGGATTGCTGATTACCCTATCTGCCTTGGTCTAAAAGGACCAAAGCAGGATTCATATGGCTGAATGAATGTACCTACCACTTCAGTTGGCACAGTTAGCGGAGTGGGTCAGCACAATGATATTTGCACACAAAAAGGCACTGAGTGACTCTACAAAGAACTCACTACGAGAATCCAGTTTCTTCAGTGTCTCAGACACTTCTCACTACGCACCCACACATCTTCCCAGAACGCCCCCATCCTTACTGATTGGCCATTCCCACGGGTCCTCATCTTCCTTTGAGAGAGGTCTGTGTGATCAAAGCCCCCAAGGGCATCTCCTTTGGTGGAAGATGGAGGAGGCCCTCTTTCCAGATGAGGAGAACCAGCAGTGGTGAGTGAGGATGACCCTGGGGGCGGCAGACGCCAAATGCCCTTCCCCCATGTGCTGTGCTTGCTTCGGTTGAAGGAATTTGAAGGATGGCACCGTCCTGGAGGCATGCAAGATGGCAGGCGATCAGTACACTACACAAACACATAAGTGATGGCATTGACACTGTTCCTGGAACAGCTTGTCATTAAACCTAGACGGATGAATCTCCCACCAGATGTTGCCTTTTGCCCGCTTGCCAGAAACTCCTTCTCTCTTCATCAGTTTCCACCTGGGAAAGCAGTATCCTTCTGCACATGGATGGGGTGATTATAAAGTCATGAAATCCATCCCACAAATCATAGATGAAAATCATCGTCATGGTTTTCTAATCATTCCAGACACTTAGGAAACCAGCTCACTTCCCTCCTTCTGCGATCCTCCTCAACACCGAGGGTTTATTCACTGATCAAGCGCCACCCCATACACCCTTTGAAAGTATTCAGTTTTCCTCCAGTCTTTTAGAGGTAGAAACTGGAATTGTTTAAAGATGTCATATGATCTTACAGCAGCTCCAAAAATTTGCAATCAACTATAATGGAACAAAACCCTAGCAAATCATAAGGGAGGCTTCGACTGGAAACCTGGGCAATCAGTATTTCTGGGAAGGTAC